TGCGCCTTTCCTGGAGCTCACTTGGTAGCCCAGGCTGGCCTCGAACTCACAGAGATCTGCCTGTTTCTGCCTCCCGAGTGCTGGGATTAAAGGCATGCACCACCACCCCCCGGCTTGGAGATATATTCTTAATTATGAATGCCCTGTCTTAGTTTCACTTGTTTTTTGCCAGCTTTCCTTAACTTAAATTATCCTGTCTACCTTTTGCCTCTGGGATTTCCCATTCTCTTACTACTGTAAATCTTACTCTTACTCTGTAGCTTGCTGTGTGGCTGTGTGGCTGTGTGACTGGCCCGGGATGTCCTCCTCCTTCTCTGGGTGCTAGATGCTCTCTCAGATTTTCCATTCTATTTATCCTCTCTGCCTGCCGGCTCCAGCTATCCTTTCTCCTTCCTCACAATTGATTCTTCAGCTCTTTATTAGCCCATCAGGTGTTCTGAACAGGCAAAGTAACAAAGCTTCACAGAGTTAAACAAATGCAACTGAAACAAAAGCAACACACCTTAAAATAATATTCTATAACACACCAGGTATATGCATTGTCCCTGGAAAAAGAATTATCCCTTAGAGTGAGCTCCCATATGCTTGAACCCACAGTCACCTCCAATATATACTAAACAAAGGGAACATTTTATTCCCATGGACTCTGTGGAGTTGGGAGCTGTGACAGGATTTTCCAAACATGATTAAAAACCATTATTACTCTATGGGACTAGAGAGAGAGAGAGAGAGCTCAGTGGTTAAGAGCACTTGTTACTCTTGTATAGACCCTGGGTTCTGTTCCAAGCACCCACCTGTAGTTCTCAAAGGTCTGTTGTTTTATTCGCAGAAATCCTCAGCCCTCTTTGGGCCTTAAGACCCCATCTAGTGCATACATGCATGCAGGCATTCACATGTACAAATATTTGGGGAAATACAACAGCCATTCTGGCAAGAACAAATTATTTTAAAAATTCTTGCATAAAATATTTTATATTTTTATTAAACTAACATGTAAGACAATAAGACTTAATATTTTAAAACATTTTTGAAATAATTTTAGTACGTGGACAATATAGGCCTGAAACTAATACAGAATAGCCTGCATCAGTCTCCCAAAACCTTAGATTAAGTTCTTGAATTATCACACTTCTGCATTGATATGAAAATTTCTGGGCATGGACTGCTCTATTGTGAGAGGTATTATGTAGTCAGAAACTAACTTCAAGTCTCTGAGCACTCCCCTTGGCGTAGATCCTCATATATCAACTTCCAGAGCTGTTCAGAAGATGGATGTAAGTACTGAACAACATCTGGGCTTCTGGGTGAAGCTCTGGTGGAAACTGCAGCTTCCACTGAGGCTGGACCATCAGTCACTGCTGGGTCAGTCTGGATTTCAACTACTGGGGGTTTCCCAAAATTGGGAGGTGCAGCAGGGGCTTGACCATCAAGCAGGTCCTCTTGGGAACTACACCTTGAATCTTCAACAGCCTGATCATTATTGAGAGAAGCTTTCATGCTGGGTTTGATGTTGGGAATGGAGCCCACAGTAGATGTGCCTGGAGACAAGGACCCCACATTGGCAGTGACTGATAACTGACCAGGAGAGTGGGTTGGCACAGCATCATCTTGAGAGCTTCCAGTTGATTCTGGGAGTGCTTCTTTAACATTCTTGAGTTCCTCCCGTTTGCACCTAGCACGTTGGTTCTTGAACCATATCTGGAAGGACAAAAACAATTGTCAGAGGAAGACCTGTGTGCCCAAGTGAACATGTTGATTGGAAATCTTGTCTCTGTCAACTACCCCCATAAAAACAAAGGTCTGGAGCTCCAAAAAAATGTAAGAGGTCGATAATTCATGATTCGACATAAAAGAAAAGTAATCTGCAGCTAGAATATCTAGGCTTTTAAAAGGGCCCCTTTTGTCTGGGTCACTGAGACTTTGGCAAGGTGAAAATATGGCTCTATATTGGTACTGAGATTGAAGAAACACCAGATCCAGTTATGGATGCACATAGGTATAACTTCCACGAATGTCTAAGCTCCCCCATACATGATGAATCATGGAGAGTTTGTATTCTGATAAATTTACAGGTTCCATGGCTAGCTATTCTGGCTGCAGAAGAGAGATAACAAGAGAAATACAGACCTTGACCTCATTCTCGGTAACACCAATCAGTGGTGCCAGCTTCACCCTTTGCTCCAAGTCTGGGTACATGTGCTGATTAAAATGTTCTAAGAGGAGGAGCTTCTGTTCGTGGGAATACACGGTACGTTCCTTTCGTTGCTTCCTCGGACCTTTACGGCAAACTTGCTGGTCACCATATTTCTCTGAACCCTGGGAATACACGGTACGTTCCTTTCGTTGCTTCCTCGGACCTTTACGGTAAACTTGCTGGTCACCATATTTCTCTGAACCCACCATAGGGCCTAGGGAACTCTCACAACCAGAACTCACTGAGGAACTTGAGGGCATCTGGTGACTAGGATGCACTGATTGGGTTCCCAGCGTTGGGGGACCTGGATGCCTTGGGAGACTTGGTTTCCTTGATGGTCCTGGAGACTCCTGGCGGCCTAGGCTCCTTACAGGATCTGAGTGCCATTGGAGATTTGATTGCATTAGTGTTCTTGGAGGAAATAGGGGACTTTGAGACATTGGCAGACTTGACTTCCTTGCAGAATCTTGAGCCATCTGGAAACCTGTTTCCAAAGGTGCATATATGAATGTAGTTAGAAATCTGGATGTGAGGAGGGAATTTGAGGAATACGTGGCCTTAAGTTTCTGGATTTGGCTGAAACTTTTGGGAGACACCTATGCACTGGTGGACATGGAAATATACTGGGATGTAACCCAACTTTAAGTAAGTTCATGTACTGGAGAACCTGGAGGAGGCAAATGCATAACACCAGATCCACAGATCTTATATTACACCATTAAGAGGTTGGAGCATTTTCCAATATCCTGTGGAGCAGGAATCACTTCAGGTCTTCAAACTTTCTCTCTACCTGACCCTCTTCCCATGTACAGGGCATATGGTAGACCTCACCCTCCAGATACACATACTAACTCCAGAGTGCTATCAAAGACTCTTCCTAACCTATCATACCCTCTCTCCCAGAAAGATACCCCCTCCACAAAACCATCATATACACACTAAATTTCAGGCCACTAACTCACTTTGTCTGGACCCACTGTCTGTTGGAATTTTACTCCAAGAACCTGGGCTTAAATATTTTCTACAAATAGAAGAACAACAACATCTTAGATGTTCAGGAAGCCTGTGTCAGGGAAGAGCTTAGTTTACTGGCCAAGACCCAGGAAGCTTTCTTGACATCTTCAGATGATTTAGATTAGCTACTAAATCCAATGCAAATTTAACCAAGCAGGCCTAGGTGAGGCTGTTTCACAGAGCACTTGTCTAGGTTTGTATGCATTCAGGAGATCAACCCACACTATTGTGAAAATGGTAGAAAATATATAGGAACTAGATTGAAAAATATGTTTTGCATGTCTTTTCTGTGTGTGTTTTGTCCCCAGGTTGCCAGAGCCCATATCTCTAGGTTAGAAGATAACATATTGAAAGTGGTTTTCTCCTTTCACCATGTGAACCATGGGAAAACAACACAGGTAACCGGGCTAGTTAACAAGAACTTTGACCACACCATCTCCCAAGCTTCAGATCTCTGATTCTCAGAATTACGTCGCCAGGGAAAGTAGATACTGGGGTTCTGTAGCTCAGGCTGATTTCACACTCACTGTGTTCAGGAGAATGACTGTGAAGTTCTCATCCCCCTGTGTACTAGTCATGGTTCTTTAGAGTCACAGAAGTTACTTAATAAATGCATATAGATATTTGAATTTAATGGATTGACTTACGTTCCAACAATGGCTAATTATGAATGGAAAATAGAAGAATCCACGAGCTGTTCAGTCCCAGAAGGCTTGGTGTCTTGGTTGATCTGCCCGGATCTCAAAGAAGGAATGGATGGCCGTATGGAGATGAAGGCAAGCAGGCAGATTACCCTTGTAATTTCCTTGCCCTTATATAGTATTCAGAGAGAAGGTGTGGCCCAGATTAAAGGTGTGCCTTCTAGCCTCAAGGTCAGGATTAGAGGGGTGTGTCATCCAGGCTCAAGATTGAATCACAGAACTGTTGCCCTCCTGCCTCCAGATCTGGATCACAAGTGTGCACTCCATATCCAGATAATAGTTCGTTCCAGATATAGTCAAGTTGACAACCAGGAGTACCCATCACAACCTGATTTGAACATGCTGAGATTAGAGGCACAGTTCCCTTGAGTGTGACTTTACCAAGCTCTTTAGTTGCTAAAAAGTAAGAGACATTCTGTCCTAACTAGATATTTGTTCTTCCTTGTGAAACCTTGTTCTCTAGGTAGACCTTATATCCTGCTTCTTTGACATCTGGGAAGACACTGGTTCTGTAGCTGCTCTTGCTATAAACCAGAGAGACAGGAGAACTTTAACTTGTTGTGTAGCTCATAATCACCTATAGAAGCTGGGATTACGGATTAGCAGCATGGACCACCACACAGTAGACATGGAAAAGAAGATGGATTCTGAGCTCTTATATTGTGTACCATATTAAAATTTATCTGGGGTCAGAGTACAGAACAGTCATTAGATTAGACATAGAGGCCAGAAATAGAGTCCAGAAAGTGATGGCAGGAAGCAGAAAGATATATAAGGTGTGAGGACCAGAAAGTAGAAGCTCTTAAGCTTGTAGGCTTTTTAGCAGCCATTCATTGGAGACATTTTTGGGTGAGAACTCAGAGGCTTCTGTCTGTGAATTAATGGAAACAGGATCAGATGAGGAGCTGTCAAGGTGAGGTTAGCTATAGCTTTTTCTGTTTCTCTGATCTTAAAAAATTCATCCCAGTATCTGGCTCTGGGTTTTTTATTAATAAGAACATATATCAATTCATCTTACAGGATTTGACTCTGCCCACTGAACTCCACCCCAACCCTTTGTGTTGTTGCTTTGCTGAGTCAGAGTGTCTGTCTGAAGTCTGCACTGGCCTGGGATATGCAGAGGTCTTGTTGGTATGCCTCTATTATGCTGAGAATACAGGTATCAACCACCACACCTAGACCTCTTTGCTTTTACATTTTTATTGACTTATTTTTATTCTTCTCATAGGATCTCATGGAAACAACAAACTTAAAACCCGAATGGGCTGTAGACATGACCACCTAAATGTTCCCCATGATGCACTTTTGGAGGTCTTTAGAATTAATTGCCAGCTCATTTAAAGTTTACTGACGTTTAGACCATTTATTGCCTCTGCACAACATGTTGGTACAGCAGGCCTGTATAGTCTTGGAGGTGGACAAAGTAGGATCAGGACATGAGGGGCGATCTTTGACTATACAGTGGCTCAAAAGCCTGCCTGGATACAGATAACTGTAGATGTAACCAATCGTATTATTAAAATAAGAAACACAGAGCCAAGGTAAAAGAGAAAAGCCGAGAGGTCAGAGCTCAGAGATAAAATCTT